GGGAGGAGATGGGCAGCGGACATCGGGGGGAGGCGACGGGGGAGGCTCGGGTCCCCCCCGGAGGGCTGGTGGCGTGGGGGGCGGGTGGCCGCGGTGCTGTCCACGCAGCGTGGTGGTTCCTCTCGCCGTGAGCCTGTCCTGCCTCTGCAGGGCGTGGGAACCCGAGCTGCTGTCACCCTGCTGGGGCCGGGGCTTGTCCCTTTGAGGAGTGGGGCTGTGTGTCGCTGCCGCCTCGGGTGGTTAATGAGAAAGGCAAAACATTAATTCGCGCGTGTTTCGGCGTGTGTTTAATGTGAGCATCCACATCAAGCCTCTGACGGACCTGTCCAGGAGCTGATGGGGAGGTCGTTCCTGCTCTGGTGTTTGCATAGGCAGAACACCATTATACTTTTGCTGATTCTCAAAGAATCTGGGTAACTCCTTCACGTGTTGACGTGCGTAGCCATGTGGGAGCCCCGTGCCGCCCTGCATGTGGTCACGCATCTGTTAATTATTTTTCAGTGGGGATGCAACTGTAACAAAAAAGATCTTTTTCTTTTTCTTTTTTTTTTTTTTTTTTCCATGCAGAAGGGGAAATTACAAGACCTGAGATGAGCTCCTGTCAAACTGGAACTCCAGTGGCTGTGCAGGGGAACGCGCAGTCTTGCTGCCGGGTCAGGCTCTTACCGTGTTTTATGTGGATCGGGCCCCAGAGTCTTTTCCTGAAGTCTGACTGAGTAACTTTGCTCCGTCTGGCTGGGGAATTTTTTAGAGTTTTATTTTTTAATGTGAACAGTGGTGATTAACTGATATGAAAGCAGTAAACAAACATCACTAGGTTTACTGTGCTTATTCTGGGCAGTGTAGCACAATATTTTGCAACTGGGAGTGTTGTGAAACTGGTTTTCAGCTGGCCTTGAAATACATGTGACTGTGTAGCTGAATCTGCCAGGAAAACTACTTGGCTAATTCACTCATTTCCTTGGGTACGTGGAAAAGAATGATCCACCCAAACCCTTCCCATTCCATAGTGGGTACCTGCTCGTCTGCTGTGGTCTCTGTGCAGCATCGCAGTAACTGCAGCCTGCCGAGGTGCAGCAGACAGTATGTCAAACCTTAGGTTCCTGGAACAAAGGTTGCTCAGGCAAATGTAAATATTACTTTATTGCACTGAGAAACTTTGTCATCTGCGTTATAGTCCCATAGTGGGGGAAGGATAACCAAACCTCAGCTTAAAATTATAATTATTTATACTGCTGGCAAAATCTTAGGAGCCACACATTGCCCCCTCTGCAATTGCCAGCACTGTTTGCTGGAGCTTAAACAGCACAGCAAGAAGGGAGGGAGGGGAGGCAGTCATGACAGAAGGCTGGGGAGAGATGATACGAGTCAGCTTTACAGACCACAGTGTACCTTGTTGAAGGTCTCCAGAGAAGAGCGATGGATACTGGACCGCCTCTTGAAGGAGGGATATGCCCTGCGGGGGATGTTGAGGCTGTCTCCGTGCTCGGTGGCAGAGCAGAGTGGGCTGCAGTTGTGGTTGACTAACTGATGCTCAGCCACCGTGTGATTTCCATGCAGGAACCAGGGAAGGAAAAGCCAAGGAGTGTCTGTGCAAACTGGCCTTTGAGAGGGAATCCTGGGTGCGCAGAAGGCACAGCAGCATCGCACAAGTGCCATCCTGCTGTCCTAGGGGGGGGTGGCTCACGAAAACCGCCCCCTTCTCACTGCCTCAGGGTTGTAGTCTTGGGAAGCCCTTTCTTCTGCAAGTTGGAGTGGAGGACTGCTCCTGGGGAGGCTCACCAGGGTCTCAGTTGGAGCCCTTCAGCATCGGTCTGAGCTCACACGCAAAGCAGAGGAGTTAGTCGGGAAGACACTCTGGGAGCAGGAGTTGCCACGTATGCCTGTTTGCAAACAGCAGCCGGAAGGTTTAGCACAGCCAACGTGTATGGGCTGAGAGCGGGGATGTGCTGGGACGTTCCTGGCACAGCCACGTTCATTTTTTCTCTGCTGTAATTAGGTCTTTTCCCTTATTTACCAGAAAGGGAACAACCTGCCTTATCTTGCTTGCTCACCTGACCATTGATCAGAGTCTGACGTACACTCAGTCACAGGAGAAGAGAGATCTGTGCTCAGGAGGGGCTGTGAAGAAGACAAGTTTCCAGCTACTTTTGCCACTGAAGTCTCTGTAAAGCTTCTCTATTACCCAGGTGAGTCTGCTGGGGAGAGAAACGTGAGGTTTATACAGACCAGTCCAAGCTGCAGATAGGGACAGATATTCAGAAGTTCCTTCTTTTGATTTAGTTATCCTCATCCTTTAGCTGACTGAGATCCCGTGTTGATTTAGTGATGGAATAGTGACTTTTCTGGGAGCTTTCTGAGGGAGAACCAGTCAAGAGCTAGGACAACGTCTGTGTTTCATCCCTCTGCCATTCAAAGGAAGCAAGGACCAGGCCTTTTGCTCCAGGCTAGGAAAGACAATCCTGAGTAAGTCTGGGCAGGTAAAACAGCTTTTGGTCCTCGGGCATACGTACAGCTGTAACTGGAGCAATGGAGCTAGCGATATGTTTTCTATCTGACTGTGCATGTATGAATCTGACGAGACACTTTTCTGTCTTGTCTGTGCCTGCAGAAGGTTAAGATGTTCATGTTCATTCTTATACCCAAGATCCATTTCTCAGTTGTATGGTCATGAAAATGCCATTTTAAAATGGCGTGATCATACCAGTGCAAAGCCTAGTGAGACTGCAACTGCACCAGTATAAAAAAGCCATATACTTTTTCCTCTTACTGTGAAAAAATGGTTGGTTTTCCTACACAGGTAAAATTAAAAGGTACAGATTTATTGACCAGAACCAAAAGTTTTTAAAGAAGTTAATTGTCTTGTGTGCTGTGAAGGCTACGCTCCCACTAAACACAACTTCAGAAAATGAAATTAAGAGAATGGGATAGTCAGTGTAAGAGCTTCTGAAATAATACCTGATGTAATGAGAACAGCACAATGGTTTATTCACTTGTTCCGGATTCTCTCTCTTGAGATGTAAAGTCATTGCAGTGTTTCTAGGTGTAAGAACTAAATGTGTCATTTCTCTTAAAAACAACTTTATTTTGGATAAGGCGAACAAGAATAAATAAGAACAAGCAAAGAGGCTTCTTGGTCAGGGAGACCAGCTGTTACTGGCTGCAGTGGTTTGAATGGGTACGGAGTGGAGAAGGCCAGACCGGGTGCTGACACGCTCTCTTCAGTGATGGAAAGTTGGAGTAGGCAGAACACAAACCCCACATTGTCTCTTGGCCACATACACAACGATCACGAGGCAGCATCTAGACTGGCTCATGTCTAGACTCAATTTTAAGGACTAAACTTCTTCCCCTGTGTTGTTTTATCAGACCATTTGTCTCCCAGTAGCTCATTAGAACCTAATTCAGCTCCGTTCATGAGAGTGGTGGTGCACATGGGTCGTTAAAGTGCAGTGTATTAAAGAAGAGCCTGTGTACTGGAAGTGCCAGTGGTTGTGCTTGTCTCTGAGCTGCTATGACAATATTGACATGAAGCAATGCCAAGACAGCATAATACCATTTGAGCAAAGTCCCAAACAGGAGGTTGTTGAAAGCAGTACTTAATTTGCAGGCACATGTGTTCATTTGTAGCCAGCTCTGAAATTTGTATTAAAATGGATTACAGTTTCACAGTATAAAGGCATTGACACCCCCTCATTAACTCAGCTGTGAGAACACTGCCTATGCTACCGAAAGACCTTCAGCATGCACTGTCTTCCACTTTTGATTTGCATAAAGGAGGCTGCAGTCTTTTCAAGAGCCCCAGTTACTACCATGACTCAAATCATGGAGGGGAGGAGAGACTGTTGGGCGGAAGTCCCGGCGGAAGTCCCTGGCTCTTCAGCCATGGGAAGGCAGCTACCTTGCATTGTGTTTTGCAATGTTACAACATGGATTGACAGATTTTCCTTTTTTAATCCTGTCCTCTAGTGTTCCTGGGTCTACCTCTTCACTCTCAAGATGCTGCAAAGAGTCCTGTGTACAGTGTTGTTCGTGGGAGCCTTGCCATCACTGGCTGAGGTGTCCCAAGGCCACATCTCAGTGGTCTTGTTGGGAGCCACAGGTGATTTGGCCAAGAAGTATTTGTGGCAGGGTCTGTTTCAACTCTACATGGACCAAGTGAGCAGTGGCCACAGCTTCACTTTCCACGGGGCTGCACTGACAGCTCTGGAGCCAGGGCAGAGGCTGATGTTTGATGTGCTGAAGAAGCTGGCCTGTCCTCCCGATGAGTCTCCCAACAGGTGTGCTGTCCTCAAGGACCAATTCCTGAAGCTGAGCCAATACCACCAGCTGAAGACTGCCGAAAACTACACTATGCTGAACAGAGAGATTGAGACGCTGCTTCGCCAGGAGGGGCTGAAGGAGGCTGGAAGGATCTTCTACTTCTCAGTACCACCATTTGCCTACACAGAGATTGCCCGCCACATCAACAGCAGCTGCAGACCACCTCCAGGAGCCTGGCTGCGTGTGGTGCTGGAGAAACCTTTTGGCCATGACCTGGAGTCAGCCCAGCAGCTGGCTGCAGAGCTGACAAGCTTCTTCAGGGAAGAGGAGATGTACCGGGTGGACCATTACCTTGGCAAACAGGTGAGCAGCTTGCAATGTGCAGCCCCTTGCCAGGTTGAGGGACATAGTGGCTGGGAGAGTGTTGGATGTCAGCTCTACATCTAATGAGAAGGTTGTTCCCCTCTCAGAGCCGCTGAGTGTGGTCCCAAACCTCCATATGGAGCCCTGTGCTGTTATTCTTGTCCTGTACAGTGCTGCTGTCCATCCTCTTACAGAGCAGAGGAAATGTGCAGACCAAAGGAGGGCTTTCTTCCCTTAGAGAGATGAGGGTCCCTTCTCCAGAGGGAAGCCAGGGTGTAGGGGTGAACTGCGTGCGCGCATGAAGGAGAGATGCAGAATTCATCTGGTCTTTCACCAAGGTCAGAGCTTTGATTTCGCTGAATAAGCAACGCCCTTTCCCTCTCACAGTTCTCCCATCTCATTACACACAGGCCTCTCTGCTTAGCCATGGCTTCTAGAAACAGTTTTTAATTTGATATGATATGGAGCTGATGGGATGTTGGTTATGCGGGATGCTTAGGAGCAGGTTTCTTCCTGCCCTGCGCTCCACTTGGGGCATGGAGGACTGGCTCCTGCAGGAACAGCTCAGGATGTGGAGCTGTGTTGTGCCAGAGGGAATGTGTTCAAGGAGATGCATCCTTGTTTTAGGGGAATGTCATGCCACATTTTGAAAGGAGCTTGTTCCAGCCACGGCACTGTGGCCAGATTTTACTCAGAAGGTTGCATGTCCAGCTGCAAGGAGAGCATCTCTACTAAGGGGGGGATTTCTTCTCTTTTTAAATTTTTCTTTTATTTTTTTCCTCCCAAAAAGAGCAGATGGCTTCAGTGGTGTAAGCATCTGATCTAATGTATTTCAGCACTTTGGAACTGTACGTTAGTCCCAGGATGGTCTGACTCAGCCCTTTGTCCTTTGACAGATATAAACCAAGTGCCCTGCAGTTTGTATTTCAGCCTTTTTCACATGAAACCTCAAAACGCCTCAGAAAGACCTTTAATGTCTGCTCTGTACAGTCATTGGAGACCCCATTGTGCATCACTGCAGGCTCTCTTGCTGATTTTCTCTTCTCTGACCCACTCTGCTCTCTGCTGTGTGGCATGTCTGCTGGTACCCCAGAGCTGGCCACATCCCAGCGCTGGATGAGGCAGTGAGGCAGAGGTGCTGTGGAAATCTGTGGTGAGTTTTTGTTGGGTCTTTGATTTTTCCCTTCACAGGCTATAGCCCATATCCTGCCTTTTCGAGATCAGAACCGACAGTTTCTGGATCCAATTTGGAATGCTAAAGGTTGGTGAGGCGAGTGTGCAGAGCTAGGGTGATGAGTGAGAAGGAGAACTGGTGGGTTCATTAATAACGTGAAAGTGGCCCTTGAGGTAGTGCTGGTGCAGAAAGGAAAAAGAGCCGAGAGGGACTGTCTTATACTTCTTATGCTAGGGACTGACTCACTTCCCGGTAGTGCTGCTGCTTCCAAGAAAAGATTCCCGTTGCAGTTCAGCCGGGCGTGGGGCAGAATCCCCCACCTTTTTGTGCTGCAGAGGTCTGGGGGTATCACACCTAGCTTTCTATTCCAAATCTTGGTAAAAAGGCACTGGATTTGGAATTGATGCAGTCTAAGGCCACTTCAGTTCAGTGCTGCAATAACCTGGTTGTTGTAACAACAACCCTTTTGTATTCCTGTCCTGTTAGCTACTGAGCTCACACTGATTATACATTTGTGCTATTCTTTGCAAGATGCTCTTGCATCTTTTGCCTGGATGTTACTCATATCAGCTACTCGGTGTCAGTCCAGGTACCTAGGTCAGTCTCTGTGTGTCTGCCTGTTTCTTTCCCTTCCTGTCTGTAGTAAGAAAGAGCATTGCAGAGGGAAAATCCAAGCCCGGAGTTGCTAGCATGGGTCTCCTGCTGGAGGACACGGCTGCAATCCCTCCTTTTTTTTGCAGCAGCAGCTCTGCAGTGCTCAGCATAAAGCACTCTGGGCTGGACTGCCACCCGCAGCACTTCTTGGGATGTCAGGCGCCCTCAGTTCTGCAACATCAGGATTGCTTCTCCACTCGCTTTATCTCCTCTTCTATCTGCCTCCTTTCTTCCCTTCCTCCTTCCCTCCCTCCCTCCCTTCCTCAGCCACCACAAACTCAATTAATGCAACTTTATCAAACTTGGAGTAATATTTGGTTTGGCAGCTCAGACCTCACCTGGGCCTGTATGTGGGAGAGGGATGCACTGCAGAGAGATTTAGGGAGAACAGTGTTGTCTGTGCGTAGCCCCAGCTACAGCCTGTACCCTCCCTGCTCTGAACAATTTTGTAATTTTTCATTTGACGTCTTTTTTCCCCTGTGCGGCTTCAGCTGGCAGCCTGGCTCCCAGCAAGTCTGCAGCATTGATTACGTTAATGAATGTGCCATTGGATTAGAGCAAGGGAGATAAATGTATCAATCAATAGGGGAAGCCTATGGCTGTGATGTAGTCTGCAGTGTGCAGCCTGCTGCTGATGGACCACAGAAAGGCATCTGTTTGAGTCACTTTCTTTATAACTGCATTGTCCTTCTCCCCCTGTGCCCACCTGCATGAGCAGTCAGGCAGGGAAAGA